AATTAGATTTCATTATGAAAAGGTTATATAAAGCCCGCTATGCTCCTCTAATGTGGTTTAATTAAAAATACATGAGTCATAAGTTATAAAACAAATATTTGGACGACTAAAAATCCATTGATGAACAAATTTGTTGGTTTCAATGTTCCGTTAAGGTGAGATTATGCCTCTTATAAAAATCGATGGCTAAATACTACGTTAAAACTGATATAGTTAGCATAGTTAAAATGTTCAAATAAAAAGTAATATTATTAGCATAATTTACATATTTTAAAACATTGGTTTTGTTTTTCTGTTCTTTGTTATTTTAAAAATGATTTAAAAGAAATTCGTATTAAATAGTTTAACCACGCAGTTAAAAACGTGATCTATTAAGTAGAACCTAGTTTAACCTATTATAAATTCTGACAACCTGGTCAGATTAATATACCTAATCTATATAACTATAAAATAATAGTAACCTATAACTTCTTAAATACATAATTATCGATATAATGATAAGTTTTCTTTTGATTGTGCGATTTTAGGTTATATGTTTATGCCACATCCAACTTCAATTAAAACTCAATAGGATAGTGATCTGAAACAAGCATAGAAGCTTTCTTATTTTCCCATCCTTTGTCGAATTCGAATATCCAGGTTTTACCAATCCATCTCTCCTTATTTTTGACTTCAAATATAAATCGATCATAATTACGGTTAAGTGTAAAATCTGGTTTCATTTAATGTACTCATACAGTACACTAATACTAAACCATAATATGAATCATCTGATAGAATTTCAGCATCAATTACAACAAAAATCGGTTTTTATATGCCAGTTATTACCATTTTACTTATTATCGATACAGCTACATCATTAATAAAAAGACTAGTAAGTAATATATATTTAATCTATAGTTCATTAAAAGAGTTTCATTGATTAATAAAGACGTCATCAAAGCCTTTAACAAGACAAATTCCAATTCGGATTGGTCGTCAAGCCAGACCAAACCCAACCTTGAGGTGATAAGAACTACACAGAACTTCCTCTGGTGTCTTTAACACCCGCTACATCACTGAAACACAGTGGTTCTGCAGAAGTTATTTGAGTTACAGCAAAGGTGCTTCCATTTGAATATTCCCCAGTGCTAGTAATTTCTACACAAGGGCCTTGTAATGCAGAAACTTTTAAT